TGTCGAACGCTAACGTGAAGGACTGCCGCAGTTTTATTTAACGATAAAAGTTGAATTTTGTTATTGAATGTTCATGTAGCAAAGTCGGTTAGGCACTGGACTCGCAGTCAGGCGGTCGGCAAGGTTTTTTGAAGAAATGTCTTTTTTTTCCTTCTCTTTTTCAACTCGGGAAAAGGCAAAGCCATTTTGAGAGTTAGATACGTTGACATCGCCAAAAGTTTATACGAAAACGCCCCTGTCGAACGCTAACGTGAAGGACCGCAGTTTTATTTCACGATAACCCCCTATGAAAGGGTCTACAATGCTTGTATCAAAATATAGTTGACAAGTGTTTGATCATTTATCCACATAAAAATACATTGTGCAAAGTAACTTAGTTACATGTCACTGAATGTGACCAAAATTAGGGGTTTACTTTCCAGTCAAGTGGAGTGCGCCAGCCCCAGCCCCATAGCCATATCCTTTGGGTCCGAATAGTTTGCCATAGCAGCCTCTACAGTACACTTGATCTGGAAAACAAATAGGAACTTTGTTTGAATTTATCCTTTTCCGTGAGGCCTGGTATTGGAAGACAAAAACCAGGCATCTCATTAATGGAAGACAACTACATGCATATCATTACTGCATGGTGCTGAGCCATGACCACTACAGTAAATTTAGTGGATGTTCAGTTTTAAATAATGAAATAAAGGCAAAAAAAAACCCCTCAGTGCTGAATAGCATTTTTAAAAAATTAACAGATCAAACAAACAGTATGAATAACAACATACCATCATGCTCATTGAATGAGCCACTGTCTAAGGACTTGTTGCAAGTGGGCTTATTGTTACAAGTGAAGCATCGTTTGTGATACTTGTTTTTTCCAGCTATAACTTGCTCCGCTGCATAGACACGGTCATTACAACGAGGACACCGTCCTACATGTACATGATAAAATAAATGAAATTGTTGAGTTTGTGTTTAATCGCAAAATATCTTAAATATAATATCTCCATAACAAGCACAATGTGCTTGCAATGTGAGAGTGAATTGTGAGACACAGTGGTTTAACCCTTTAAACCCTAAGAGAGACTAGCATCTAATTTCTCCCTACAATATCACTCCTGAATCATACACTCAGGACATGAGAATAAAGGAAATGGTCACCAGGGAAGGAACCCTTTGATTGGCAAACAAATCCTCCTTGTCAGTGCCTTAGAAAACGTATAGAGAACAGTGTGGAGAATATGCACACTGATGTTAGGGTGTAAAAAGGGTCAACATTTACTGTGCTGGTCTGCAGATCGAGGGGTCTGAGTTCAAAACCTGGCTTAGTCATATCTTCCATTTTTTGACAAGAAACTTCATTTTCTCAGTGCCTCTCTCTCCCCAGGAATTTAAAGAGGTAACGGCAAGCTGTCATAGAATCATAGTGCAAAGCTGGGGAAGTGGCAAGGGAGTGGGTAAACTGCACTGCACTACCACCCCATCCTGGGGTCGTAGAAATACTCCTTGTCTCTTCATGGTGGGGAAACAAGGAAATGTCAAACAGGGTAGGCCAACTGGTTCCAAAGAATAATAGAGGCAAGTTACCAAGGAAACTGTTGTGCTGCATTGGTTGGTGAGTGTAACAAAATAATTTGGTGTTATCAACAGATTTGATAATGTACATTGGCCACTGCAAAGAGCTTCAAAGCTGATGTTTCAAATGCAAGCCCCTTGTCATGGCTCTTATTTAGGGCTAACGCTCAATATGTCAGCTTTGAAACTCCTTACCATGACCAATTTACATCATCAACTCAGTTGACAAACCCAAATTCCTTAGTTCAAGTGTTGACTTTACCTTAAAAGGCTGCAATACAACCTCAATTATTAAAAAAAAAATTTCAAGGCAGAAATGCAATACTCTTGTTCACTTCATGCTGCAGAAAGCCAGGATAAGCTCTTACAGCTATAGAAGTTGTCTTACAAGCGGAATATTTTGAAAACAACTGATTGAGTAAACAAAATGATGAGTTCTGGATGACAATGTGCATGGATAACCCAATGCCTATTAAATTAGAGATGTTTGTTTCACATCTGGCAAGTTTGAATTACAAAAGAATCTGACTTAAACAAGGTAGTTAAAAAAAAAATTTTACCATCATTCTGAGTCTACAAAATACATCACCATACTTTCTGGTGCCAAAAAATTTGCCTAATAGCTTAAAAATATTTTTTGTTTCTTCGTCTCATCAAAAGCTTGGAATAAAGAAAAGTAAGAGTCCTCAGATATCATAGAAAATGCTGACTGATGAAACAGCAGGACAGACAAGACACTGCTACTTCATTGTAGAGAGAAGGCATTTAAAGAATGCAATGAGGGATTCTAGACTGTTCTGTGAAGCCACGCGAAACAAAAGAGTTCAGACAAGTATAACTATAGAGCATGCATCCTTAATTTTACATGTTCTGGTGGGTGATCAAGAATTCTTTTAGAAGAAAATGGCTACCCGGGATATACAAATAAACAACAATTACGGAGCTGTACAACTACGCATCGGTTTATGTCCATAAATAAACCATAACTTAAACAGTTTTTTAGCTTCTTCGACTTCACATTCGTCTACTCGCAACTTGGTCACGAAATCGCTCCAAACTACAGTGGTTTTGTTACAGTTACCACTAAAGTGTTTTCCACTTACTGTTGATAGCTCTTGGCGATTCTCTGGTATTAAATTTACAGAAATATGAGTTTTCTTCGGCTTATCGGAGAAAGGAAAAGGAGCTGTCAGCGTGAGACATCAGTTTCTAATTGCAACTCAGTTGTGTGTTATTTATGATGACCTCGAAAGATTAACAATCGTGTGCCAAAACAATTGTCCCTTTGCTTAGACTAAATTGCTTTGTGCATGAATCTGAAATTTGATTTCGCTCCTTCGAAGAGAAATCGCACACCGAATTCGTCAAGAAGAGATTAAAGTGAAAAAATGGAAGGACGGGCGACGGTTAGTTGCACCTAATCGCAAAATGTACATAGTTATCTAACAAAGCTTCGCTCTTGAGTTAAATTTCAGAAGAAAAAATTAATTTCACTTACCAGACATAATTTTTGGTGTCAACAGTAGACAGCTTTCACTAACAAGTCAAGAAATATGGTCGCTTGTGCTACACTAGGCGGCCAATTAAGGAGCGACTTTCGGAAGCCAAGCCTCCGCATTCTAAGCGTAATTTAAAGTCCAAAGCCACAGGGGATACAAAAGTAAACAGTACAATTATTCCCCACCGGGTAAGGGTGAAAGGCAGACTACTTCAATAGCATTCTAAATTATGGACAGGGAAACCCTTTTTTATTACCTGTTCTAAATTTCCAAAAAGTTTCACGAGTGAGTGTCGTTTAGTCAACAGGGCCTTCATTACGTACCTTGAGTAGCGCGCAAAGCGCATCACCCTCGCGTGACCCTCAAGACCAGCAGTGAGATGGCTGTCCTCAGATTGGACCAAAATGGTTAAAAAAAAAAATTTATTTATCAGAGATCTCTCGATATTCCTAGCAAAAGATACAGTTGGGTCTAAATATCGAATTTTAATCGTGACTATAAATCATAATAGGCGAGAACAAGTAAAAAAAAATGTCCTCTCTAACAGGAGCCCATTACCTCCTGTCTCTACTAAAGAAACCAATTTTTTAACTCCAGTCATTTTATCAGTCATTAATACAAAAATGAAGAAGAGAGAAAATTTCTATCAACGTAACAATCACAGATAAATCAATTGGTCAATTAACAGCCTGTGCCAACGATATAAACACTAGCCAATCAGAAAATCCATTTCATTGTGTCCTTGTTAACGCCCCAGCCCCGCCTCCAAATCCGTATCCCTTGGGGCCATAATTTTTACCATAACAGCTCTTGCAGTAGATATCATCTGAAAAAATAACGACAAGTAAGATGACAAAGGAAAACGGAGTGAGACCAAAGCAACAACAACTACAAAAATTACCAGTGCCCTAAGACAAATCCAAGGTTTTTCTTAAGCTACAGCTATGACTAAGTGTCATCCATCAGCAGCCTGGTGTCAAGAGATATTCTCTCGGTGTATCATATCCATTTTAACTGGTCGGCGTCCTAACACATTTGGGGAAACGAAAGGATTGAATCTTTGGTGTTATCACGTTTTACTTACCGTCGTGCATGGTCAGAGTAGTACTGTCCAAGCCTTTTTTGCAATCCGTACACGTGAAGCAGCTCTTGTGCCACGGTTTGCCGTTTGAGTCTTTTTTCTCTTCGGCTTGGTAAACGGACTTTGCACATCTCTGGCATTTCTTTTGAGGTGCTGGAGTAAAAGGCATGTTGGCTTCCTATTATATCATAATAATAAATAATGAGATGAGTATCGATGAATCTTATTTAAAAAAAAACAAAACAAAAAATAAAATTAATAACTGAAAAGAAAGAAAATCACTCTAAATTAAAAAAGACTTTTCAAAGGATTGTTGGGAAATGATCTTTACAAAGGTGTTTATTTTATAATCGTAGATTTCTTCATAACGTAAAGGTTAGTGACGTCATCAAAATTGATTTAATTTTTGGCTTGAAGTCACGATGCTCTCTGTCAACATGAGGACGTCACAACAAAACTTTTTATTCTCTCCAGTCTTCCCCCTCTCTCCCCCCGAAAAACGTAATCTACTGAAAATAATTTCTGAAGCTAAGAGAACTGAATAGTATTTATCGTTTTTATCTTGGAGGAAACTAGTGTTGATCATTTGAAGAAAAAAATAAAGAACAGAAAGGAGGCCTAAATGGGGTTAACCGCTAGTCGTAACACGGCAAGGAAAAAATCCGTCTGGCGTAAAAATTGACAAATTTTAATCTTTAGTCGTGAGAAGGGTTAACCGTAAACAAATTTCTTTTAACCACAGTGGAAATGAATTAATCGTTAGCCGCAAAATGGACTAATTCTTGAGGCGTTTGCCAGAAGAGTCATCATCTCCATAAGAACCTCAGAAACAGCCGAGCTACACACACTCAAGTGTTATGGTTTGCAAGCTTCCTTCCTTCAAAGGTTTTTTTAATTTTTTAAATTTTTTTCAGAACATATCGATGATTTCAGCTTCTGTACACTAGAGGCTTGGGTAAATAAGTTTTGTTCCCCTAGGCCCGTGCTCATAGGAGCAAATTCTCTCTGCATAGTTTCTGATTTGGAATAGACAGCTGCTGTTCTCTACTGGAAATGCACAGTTTTTAATTAGGATAATTACCTGTTCTTTTGTAATTCTATTGGCCAAACCAAAGAAACCAAAACATACACGGTTTACGCTATAGATATGTTTGCATCAAAGACATAACAGTTTGCATACCAAACGAAACCAAATGTTTTCTTTGGCTGTTCCTTTTTTGCCAAACATGACCGATGCCTGCTTTGAAAGATAGCTGTAATGTTTAATGTGAGTTTGATGTTGATAGTTTTTCGTTCAAAACAATCACAATAAACTGAAACATTCGTCGGAAGAAGAAGCAGTGACAAATCAAAACTCTGTTAAGTTGCAAGGGTTAGGACGTCGCCTGACTAGGTATAGATATCGTCTTTAGCGGATATCTACGAAATTTGCTTTGAAATCCCCCGAAGAAGGAATAGCTTTCCATTTGTGACACAATTAAGAAAGAGAAAGTTTTTAAAAGCTAGGAATGTATGACCTACCTTGAACTGCACAAACAGAGTCAGCGCATTCGATAGAATCTCGTACCAAACAACACAATGATGAGCTTCAACCTACAACCTCGCTATTTTTATTAGGGTCGAAGAGAATTTAATTACTTTTTGTTTTGCTCGATAAAATCAGTCAACGATGCCCTTTAGAGAGTTGGATCATTGATCAGCTCATCAATGAGTTAGTTTTGAAGAATTCTCTCCAGTTGTTTAAGACATGTAGAAAATCTCTAACACCTCGATTACCGGAAACGACAATCATATGCTCGGCTGGCGTTCACTTTCAACACTTTTCTCTGTTCCTTTGATTGGCGAGAAACTCTAAGCATTTGTTCTAGTTTATTCCCCAGACATCTCTGGTATGAGATAGCCATCGAAAAGTGCATTTCCATCGTTTTTGGAGCGTTTGCTACATACCGTTCTGAGGGACATAAAGCTTTTTTTTGAGTTTGTAAGTTTATCTCTGGGTTCGTTGAGGCGCGCCGAGTATTTGTGGACATATAAGGAGATTTTAAACGTTCTCGAAAAAATAACTTAAGGTACACGAAAAAAATTTAAGAGACCATTAACTCTCACCGTGTTATGCTAAAATTTGCTCACTCACGGAGTTCCTACAGCACAGCGTAAATAAACCTCGAAACAGACTTCCTTTGGATGTTGAAAAATCTTCATCAACAACAATCACGGATCATTCCAGAAAGGTGGTAGGCGGTAGGCGGGGGGGGGGGGGGGGGGGGGGGGGGGGGGGGGGGGGGGGGGGGGGGGTGTGGATGTAAGCCCTCTCACCGTTATCTTTCATGTAAGACTACTCAAAACAATTTCTTTTTGATAACAGATTCATCATTCCCAATGATTTTATATACACTTTATCGAGATCCTCTTTTAGGTTTGAAAACTCTGACCTCTCCAGCTCTTAAGAAATAGAAAAATGCCGAAGTCTCGCCTTCCACAAAATTTGAAATACGAACAGTCAAGGCAAAATCGTCGGATCGCAAATTTCAACCCATCAAATGTTAACCCTTTTGGGAGTGACAAACATCTAATTTTCTACTTGCAATATCTCCCCTGAATCACACATAAAGGTCACAAGAATAAAGGAACCGATCACCAACTAAAGAAGATCTTGATTGTTAAACAAATTCTAACTGTCAGCACCTTAACAAATGTACGATGACCAGTATGGAGAATATGCATACTGATATTAGGGTGTGAAGGGTTAAGAAAAGGCCTTTCGCACTTCCCTCCTGCACGTCCACCTTACTCCCCCCCCCCCCCAGAATTTTGGCCTCTCGACCCCCAGCCAAAAGTGCTTTGTGTTTTCCTATTCAAAGCAATAATCAAGCCCATGGGTGTCACACCCCGCCCGCCCACACCCCTATTTTTTAACGCTCCTATCGACTTGTCAACCGCCCCATCTGACCTCGTGAGACTGAGAGACTTTTATGTAGGAGAAGTGAATGACGGAAAACAACGCAAAAGAATTAATGTAGACAATGTATGACATGTTAGAAGTAAATCCTAGGAAAGGACGAAGTAGGTGCCTGAGTACGGTTGCATTTTTGGCAAAGAGCATGAATTTGTGGCAAGCTTCGAATATTTCAAATCAGTCAAATTAATAAATAAATTTAGCACGAAAATGCGCCGTATTCACGTTGAATTAAAGTTGCCCCTCCGGTAACTTCAACACATCAACATTATTGACAGGAGGTCCAAGTTTGCCGGGACGCGTTTCTTAGGCGTAAGTGGCTCCTACCTAGTTTCTTGAACAAAGACTGAAACGATTAGCATACCAAGAGCTTTTCTCCCATTGCTATGGCAATCACTGGATACAAAGACGCACGGGATTACGCTCTAAAGTGCATAAATTGTAACCGCTTTCCAAAACCGGAAAAAACCCGGCATAGCAGGCTGTAAGGAGTCTGAATTACGAGAATGACATCCGAATTGTCTTCTTTTCCCTGTTTACTTCTATTGTTGCTTAATCAGCCATTAGGCAAGGGTAGCATCACCTACCTTTTAAACTAAGGCTATCTCAGTTGTTTACAGGGTAAACCGACACTTTCAATAAACACTACTTTCGAAACATATAAGGGATGACTCAAGGTTTGCTGAAGAGTTTCCTGTTTACAGTTGTGGGGGAAAATTGGAACTTACGTGGTATAAGCTATAGTATGTCATATCCTTTCATGTGTAGTTTAATGGTTGTTGTCAGAAGTGTGCATCCTCGGAGACCCAGGGGCTGTGAGTCAATTTCAAGTCAGGGCAGGAGAGCCCCTGGGGATCAACAACACTGGCAAGCAACTGAGCTTCATACACTTCGCCGTGTTAAAGCACACGAAAGGACTCTAAAGCATACTTCACTCCGATTGGGTAGAAAAACAAAGATTTTCTGTGGCTGTGACCGTTTGGAACTGGCCTAATAAGATTATGTCCCCATGGGCTCTCCCGCCCTGACTTGAAATCGACTCACGGCCCCTGGACTCCGAGGATGAGAAGTGTGTTGTGTTCTTTCTTAAACTTTAATTACAGGATATGAAGCCACGGTATAACCAAGATCAACAGAACTTTAATTAACCCTTTCAATACTAATATCTCGTTACTAATTCTCCTTACTGTCTTCCTTACAATTCTGATGTTAGTTGGGAGAATTTGGATTTGGATCAAACAAAAAAAAATCCTCAAATTGATGGTTTTTAGTGCATTGATATTGGAGAAAATTCTGTCTTGTAATGTAGCTGCTTACATTTATGTACATAAACCTTCCTTATGCACTCAGATTTGTTTAGAGTTTTGCAGAAATTTTACAACCATTCAATATCATCTGTACTCATCACAGCCTTTAAGCTGTACCTTACGGCAGTACTTATCTGTGACTGTTTTTGACAGGCTGCTTGAAAGACTCCTGAACACTTCTCTTCATTGACCCTTTACACCCTAACATCAGTATCCATATTCTCCCTACTCTTCTCCATATCTTTCTCTTGGAACTGACAAGGAGAATTCATTTGATGATCAAAGCTTCTTAGGTTGGTGAACATTTCCTTTATTCTCATGATCTTAATGAATGATTTAGCAGTATTACTGTCAGGAGAAATTAGATGCTGGTCACTCTTAGGGTTTTAACCCTTTAACGCCTATGATATGATTGTTAATTCTCTCCTCTAGCTGCTAAACATTTCCTTGTAAAGCAGCTGGGAGAATTTGGTCTTAGATCTAGATAACAACTTTAACCAAATAAGTTTGAGTATTCTCATTACCTGCTTGCTGGATAATGTATGGATATTATAGGGAGAAGTAACATGTTAATCACTTTTGGGAGTTAAAGGGTTAAGGGTTAACAACTTGTAAATGCTCCAAAACCAAAAAAAAAGTAAACCACCACTAATGCAGCAGAAGCACTGAACTGTTTGTACAGGAAGGCTTCCCATGGTCTACTGCTGCTATAAATTCTTCTTCCTGATATAAACATAGATAATCAGACCTAAAAATCATACATCCACTTAGTAAAACCTGGTAAGAGACATCATTTTGTGACTTTAAACAACTATTCTTGCTTCATCATGATGACTTTGGCCAGAGGAAAAGATCTCTGCATTCTTCGGTTGTACTTGAATGATGACAATTATCTTTTGAAACTCTCGGAAGTATGTCAGAAAGTAGAGAAGGAAACATATGCTCATCAACCATTCACTGAAAGTACTCGCCAGATGGGCATTGTATCCCTGTTATGGTTAAAAAAAAAATGCAATCACAATAAGTTAGAGCAAGAAATATGATTAAAGGGGGTAAGTTTCTAGAGAAACTGTGGTGTTGTGTTGCTGGGAGAGTACAACAGGGTAATTTGGTTCTATTAACTTAGTTAATAACGTAAATTGGCCACTGTAAACATTTTAAAAAGTTGAAGTTTCTAGTGTTAGCTCTTTGTCAGGGCAAATGATGAAGTATCAGATTAAAAAACAAACAAAAAAAAAGGCACAAGAGACATATTTGGATCTAGGAGGATCTCTACAATAAAATCATTGCCAAATGAGCCACAAAATTATACAATCAGAGAATTTCCTCACACATCAATCAACTTGATAGCAGAATAGGGAACTTCAATTACAAAATCTAGGAAACATCTAAGGCTAAACTGGAGAATGATACTCCTCAATCAGTAAGAACTGGTATTCCCTGTGCACGCAAAGGATGGGCAAGTGATTTTTCTGAGCACTTACATCATCTGTTTTGTTCCACTTGAGTTCAGCAGCCATGTCACTCATGTTCTTATGCTGTTCTTTGTATGCTACTGAGGCGGCACCTCCAGCCGCTAGTGCTATTTTCAAAATTAATTTAACATCAAGGACAAAATCAGCAATAATTTGTCTTGGCATCAGATCTTAAGTTTCCTAAAACCCTCTGCTTAACTCATGAAGCTACAAAAATTGGAATTACTAATACTAACTTGATCTGCATATTGGAGCAAGGATAAAAACAGCTTCTATACTTGAAGACTGCGTGCATGAAAGACTAGCATAGCTTCAAGAGCTTAACCCAGTAACTGTGCCATACAACAGAAAGGAATATTGCCACTCGTTGTAGATAATATGGGAATGATAATGGGAACAATGGGCATTTAGCAGTGGACATCCCACGAGGTAGCTCTTCTTGTCCACTGTTTCCAGGTTGAATTGGAATGTGAAAAGTTAGTATTTCTGGAGGGAAGAAACCCAGAAGACTAGGAGAGTAAACCTCAGAGCAAGGATAAGAACCAACAAAAAACTCAACCCACGTATGGCAACAGGTCTGGGAATCAACCCAAGGCCAGAGCAGTGGGAGTTGAGTGGTATCACCACAGCACCATCCTGCTCTCCTCATTTTCTAGTCTACAATTTAGTTGAACTTTTATGACATTTTGCTGGTACTTATAAAAACTCAATGGCCTTTTAAGGTAATATGTATTATGATCCTGACCAACTGTCTAAGCTATGTTTCTGATCTAGTATACAGTGCACTGTGATTATGAACTCACACTGCACATTCCATCTCACTGACATGTGGATAGCAAAGTTTGATTTAACTGAAAGAGGATACTGATGATAAAGAACACAGATATGAGAGCTGAAAGAATAAATCTGGTGCAAGAGCTAAGGGCAGAGCTTGTTGCCTGATTTCGCATTAAATGGGAAATAAAGGCCTGCATCCAGCAGTACAGTGTCCCTAAACCAAACACCATGATAGCGCCTGTCAAATGTGTTGGCAAAGAATTTGTCTCCTATAAAAGAACAATAGCAATCTATATCATTACACTGTCAGTAATTGAAAGAGTGTTGGGAAGATTGAGAAATGCCTGCCTTCATAAACATCAGGCCCCCTTTTTTGTGACAATTATTTTATAGTTTTTATCTTTTTGAAGTATCCAAGCAGGCCTGGCCCATAACCAGTCCAACTTCTTACAATACAGACCAGTGTCTGGAGTTTTTTTCTCTTCCATTCCAGCCAAGAGGAAAAAAGCAAACCAGCAGAAAAAATAAACAAGTTACTAACCAATCTAGTTCAATCTGTATGTAAAAAAACAAAAAAAACCAAAAAAAAAAAAACCAACTGTGCCTTCAAGCCTTGGACTGTACTCAAGATATCAGCCACAGTTTTTTTCCCCTATCAACTTTCCAGATGGTGTCTTGAACTATTAAAATACCTCTCTCTTGCCAAGAGGAGGAAGTGATATTCATTTTATTTAAAACCAGATGAATTGAACTTAGGTGTTGATCAATTTGAAGCTTCAACACCCCTCCCCCCCCCTCCCTTCTTCAAGTGCTCCCACCCAAGTGCTGAATTAGCAACTGTGCAATTCTTGTGGACCTCTTCTTCTGAGCCATCTGCTCACAAAAGTGAACTTTCTACATTTATACACTTCCACATTAGAGGATAAAACACATTCATTTAGTGGGAAAGCAGTTCTGGTTCAAATTCTCCACCACCCTGGAAAGGTTCAAATTCCCCACCCCCCTCCAAGGGGGGAGGGGTACAAGGGATGTTGAAGCTAGATTGCTTTTTTTTATGTTGATAATGGTAATTGTCATGGGGAAAATTTCTCAACACATCACTTGTTTTTACTACAATTTTCTTCAAAAAAGAACAAGTTAAAAAATAAAACAGTTCCCCAAATGTGTTAAACAAAAATTGGATTTCACAAAAATAATGGGGTTTTGCCCACAATAACACGCCCTTGATAGCAACTTAATAATTTCAGTACTCAGATCTTGCCTAACTTACTTGAAAATTTGCAACCATGGAGAGACCCAAGCATGTAAAGGCTGCTATCCACAAGGACCAATAGTTAAGATTCGAGATTATCGGCATGTCTGTGACATTGGATTCTCTTACATGTCTGTAGTGGATATACATTACTACAAATGCTGCAAATTAATCAAACAATAATCTAAAACATTTATGTCAAAGATGGCTCTTGCCAATATTGGGATTTGAAAAATCTGACCTGAAAGTATTGTGTGCATTATGTGGAAAAAGGAAAAAAAATTTGTAAATTTCATAAAGAAATAGGCATACTGTTGAGCGGAATTAAGTTTTGATCAAATTATTTAGTTGGCTGCACTCAATGAAACAGTAATACAAAAATAACAACATTTAACCCTAGTTATAGTCAGATCATGGCTAGAGGGAATATACACCTTGAGGATAAATACTGTCCAACAAACAACTTTTAAATGAAGTTATATGTTTTGATTTTTAGTCAGCATGAACAACTCAGATCATTCGACAACTGTTTCCATGGTGTTAAAGGTAAGAGCAAGCTAGATAAAATACTCATTTATGATCAAAGTTCTTTCAGTTTATCTACCAAAAGAATTCTTAAGAATGTATCATCTTAACTACGAGATAGAAAAGATCTTCACAATACCAATCACTGCAGCCATATTGAGAAACTGTCCAAAGATGCAACTCTCAGGTGCACGAGACCCTGCATCGCTAAAGAGAAACAAACAGAAAAACAGTCAAAGAACATGAATTTCACCAAAGAAATGTCATGGTTCAAACTTGTTAGATACAGACAAATAAGGATGGAATGGTCTGCCAAAGATTTATTCCTCCCCTCCAGAAATTTAATCATACAACAACATTAATTGTGTTCATTTAAAATTCATAAATTCCCAATTTGAGCCCAAACTTATCCCAAAAAATATCCAATTATCCTTCCCTCCTTTTTATTATTTTCCCCACAAGAAAATTTCCACCACTGGATTTAATTACAGAATTTTTAAAAATGATCTTGAAAATAACATGTGGAGGACCAAATAAGAATTTAATCCTTTAACTTTGATGAGTGACCAGGACATCATTTCTCCTTACAGTGTTAATACAATATCAAGCAAACAAGTGACGAGAATAAAGAAAAATATAAATTAGGGTATTACTAGTTGATGCTATACCAAATTCTCCACACTAACATCATAAGAATTGTATGGCAGACAGTAAGGAGAATTGCTCATGAGATTTTGGGAGTGAAAGGGTTAAAGCACTTAGTTTGAGGAAACAAACAGAACAAATATTGGCCATAAGAAACTAAAATTTTGTGCTGCTGGCATGTTCAATCATAGGATGTTCCATGCCTTCCCTCTGCATGATCTCCTAAGGACTCCTACAAAAAAAGATCTTGTTGCCATCTAAAATAGAACCTAGTGGGATATTCAACCATCAAAATTACTTGATTGTGTTTATTTTAAGTAGGAAATGAAAATGTCCTTTTAAGGGTGCACTCAGTGTTATGACTACTTTTTTACGACTTAGCTATAAAATCAACTCATTTATATGCTACAGCACATAAAGTGCCGTCACTGAGACCAGTTGAATACAACATTAACATATTTTTAGTTCCAACAAACCTTATATATGGCCAAACAGCTCTGACATCCCCTCTCTTTACAGACATGCCATAGCTAATAATAGAAATATAATGTATTACTTATATACATGATGATTGGAAAGAGAATCTCATCCATGTCCCATGTTACCTGCTAAATTTGCCCTTGCACTATATTCAACCTTCAACTACAGAATTATTACACTCAATGACTTACAATGACTTGTGACTACATGCATAAAGTCATTCTCCTGGCATGACCAACAAAATAAACACTGATCAACAGATAATCAAAAATACTAAATGCTAAATTCTACGACCATCATCAGATGTCAATTTGTTTGTCATGGTGCAAATTACAAATTGATACAATGTGAAATAAAGATAAATCCTGATGGACAAAGACAATCAATAAAAATCAATAACAGCAATTGACCATCCCATTGAAAAATCAGATTCATCAACTGCTCAAGAACAATGACTTCAATATTAATATCCAAGGATCATTGCATTTTCATCAAAAAGTATAAATTTTCATCAGTTCATACTGGTAATAGGACCGGGAGGACTCCAATTTAGTCTGTAATCATGCAAGTAATGAACAAAATCAGATGACTGCGAAGTAGGAGTCCAATTTGTCAATCATGACCATGACTATAGACAGAATTGGATGACAAAATGTCCTGTTAAAAATTCCTCTATTTTTGGGAATGTCCCATTTTTATCTATTAGGATATCAAGTGGTTGTTGCTGTGATTACTGTGATCAATTACTTGATTAGTGGATTTAGTTGAGTGGACTTAGTATGATTGACTGCTTCAACTGTCCGATTATAGGGGTGCAATAAAAGCCAACTGTCTGATTACAATTATATGGAATGATATTTGAGGAATCACATTTGAGGAAATTGTCACCTTTATCATTATTGCTAATAGTAAATCTTAATTGGTCACGCAAGGGTTGATTACAAGTAAATTGTAGGTAATCTTATATAACTTTATACATCCATAATACTTACGCAGTGAAGAAAGCAATGATTGCAAAGCAACCAAGGACAACAGGTAGAAAATGAAGATTCCCAATGCCTTGAGGGGCCATAACTATAATTTCTTCCAATTTCTGTTCAAAGAGAAAACAAATCAGTTATTTGTGAACACAAACTCTTTTTTTTTCTATCATTCTAGCCATAACATGGTATGCTTCTAGTATTTCTGATTCCAAGTTACCATTATAACTAGGAACTTAAGGGCCTGTAAGATTTGAAGTTTAATATATATATATTTTTTCATTTAAGAACCGTTTGGCACAATCCACTCCCTCTAAGTACACACTAAATAGAACACCAGCTAACAGCTAATGACTGAAAAGTTGTCTTTCCACAAAATTTGATTAAGCCACACGAAGTTTTAATTGACAGAGTTAAAGATAGTGAGGTTTTTCAGCATAACTAACATACAGGCAAACCACAAACAGCCTGCTAAAACACCTACAGGGTCAAGTTTGAACTCACAAATTTGATTCCACGCTGTATAACTTTCAAGAAAGTTAAAAAATCTAGTGTTGATAGGATCAAATTTGTCATGAGACAAAGAAATACCGCAATTGCGTCGTTTCTAAATTCAGTGCAGAATATTAGATCTCACAAAACCGCTATGGAGATTCAATTGAGTCGGTAAAGTCTGTTTCCTCTCAGTTAAGTCGTGAGTTATATTGCTAAGGCGCACTTCCGAACGATTAAAATTTTCAGAAACGTAAAGTGCACACCCAATGGACAATTTTCATATTTACAAAGCCGTTCTAATTTTTCCATGACAGAAATGAGATGAGCTTTCCAAATTTTAACACCTAACATTTCTTTCACAATTACTTGTTAAAGTTTTGAATTGAATTCCCATGTGTGTTTAAGAAATTTCACACGTGAGTACTAGTAAAATTTCTGCCGCGAGTGAAATACAGCAAATACATATATATATATACAAATTATGCAACAAGAAATCAAACGCAGTGTTGCGTACTTGGTTACGCAAAATATAACCAGGCTAGAACTTCACCAGCAAGGGTGGCTGGTTTATCACCAATGAGAAAATAGTTTATAAGTCGATGACACTACATAAGAAATCTACGGCGAAGTTTCTCCGAATACGAGCGACCTTCCATGATTCAAATATTGAAGATGTTAAGGACATATGCAAGGAACACTTGATAAATATTTCATTCCTTCCAGTGCTTTGTTTCTTTTGGATTTTACGTAAAACAGTAATGTGCATGATTTTATACCAAGAGCTTAATTTTCCCAAACATTTCCTACAAAACTACTATTTTCTTACCTGAGCAAACAGGGTCAACTATTTCGAGCGAATGACATGGCTACAACTCCGTCCGGGAAGCGAATACTTGTAACCATGTGACCGAGGACCACAATTTCCGTTCCATGAAGAGGAAGAGAAAGGCATTTTGGGAAGGCAACCAGAAATAAAATTACTCCCCAGGTGTTTTAATTTCAAAAAGATAAAGCAATGCCTAGGTTGGGAAGAAACAGTTATTTGGGTAGATTCGTCTGAATTCCCTGTGCTTACGCGAGAGACTGCACAGCAGCCGTTTCAGTTTAAAAGTTCACTACAATAGTGAGCAGACTGTGAAAGACTACCAGTAAATCACTAAACTTTTTAACTCAAGAAATAATTTGGCATTCAATTCGAAGAAAGATGGTGACTCGTACACGACCACTTGGCGAAATAAATATTTAATGGACATAATTTTCATATTTATAATTCATACAACTCTTCATGGGCATTATTTTCATAAACGTCATTATAATAGAGATTACTCTTCTCTTGATTTATGCCTTAGAGTGTATTAATACTCAATACAATAAATAGTACGACTCCTATACAAGTGGCTAACACTAGTCTCGCGCTTGTAGGTTACAAAACATTGTTTTCAAAACAGAAAATTTAGCTTCGAGTGAAAGAGACTTGAAAGTACAATAAGTACTAAAGCTTCACTGGTAGGGATTTCTGTCACAATAAGGCCATATAAATTTCACTTGCAATAAATTCCTGAAAAGTTCCCAAAACTTTCCATCATGCCAACACCTTTCTGGAAACCCATCAACCTTGGAAATGAGATCATTTCTTCCTACCCTTGCAGTAACTCGAACACTAAAAGATTTGAATAGGACATATCTCAGACGCATATTTCTATCAATACAAGGCAGTGATCTAAAAATAACTGTTTCTGGCCAGCTAATGCAAACTACATGGGTGTAAGACCTATTTCAGCCTCCTCCCCCCTTCTTAACGAAGACCTTTCTTTAAGCGAGGGATGGGAATTCCATTGTTTAAATATTTTGTCTTCAATAGAAACCTCTCGAAGATTAATTTGTTTAAGTCACTAAGGTAAAAATCTTCCATTCACATATTTAAAGTGAACTTCTTCCAAAACCCTTCTACGAAACTTTATTGTGACCATCAGGGTCTTTCAAAGAATCCTTATACTCTTTTACCCCCAGAAAAATACTTAACTGAATAAAGCTTTCATTGCAAAGGTTGTTTTTCGTTTTTAAGTCCTAGGACTGATGCAAGCTATTAATTACAATGGTCGTTGAGACACAAAAGTCTACCTCTGAGGAAATTCAATTTGTAAGGAAATTAACTATGGGAAGCTTCAAGAATCCAAAGGTTAAGTCTGAATTTGAATCACACCTATGGAGAGACATGTCGTTCTTAGTGCCCATTTGCAAGGATGTGAACTTTCATTGTGGTTTTCTTACTGTTCCTAAGGTATTAGAAAAGGTGAAAAGGGGTAAAACAAAGAGGCAGTAGAGACTCCTATATTACACATGCATATTAATACCAATAACACATGATCATGTAGTACAATTGGAGAAAATCAGCTATTAGCAAGGTAAGATGGGATCAGTCTCCTTTAATACACAGTATTTTCTTTATTTTCATTCCTTTTCCTTAAATCAGGTTATGCATTCTCATTGTATTACTCAGTGAATAAACTTCAGCGATCTGTTATCAATTAGTCCCCACCTAGTTCAGTTATGCAGAAACCACCATCAAGGTTTTGTGCATCACTATAAAATTCAAGCCTGTACAATTCAGTTTACTACAAAAGATAACCATCAAAGAGAGCTCAATGCATATTTGTAGCACACTTGAACTACTAAGAAGTTCAAATTGTAATAAATAAAAAGGCTGATGAGGAAGCTTAATATACATTTATGACTATTTACAAATCAATGTTGTTCTCATGAGTTGACCATGTCCAGTATATGTTTATGTAACAACATTTAAGGGGTTTGTTTGTTACTGTCAGATACAAGTAGTAATTGGGAACCTTGAAAAACACACTTTTCAATATTAAATCTTTGATGCTAGTGCTTTTAGTTACAGAAAGGCTTTCTAGAACTAGAGCAAAGTTTAACTTCCTTCACTCTCCCATGTAACAAATAATTACAACTGATATTGATAACTCATTTCCAAAATTGCATATCATATTGATTGCCAGGGAGTATGAAAGGAAATTACGAGACACAGATTAGCTAGGACTTGCACAAAAAATTATATAAGCAGGTTTGTTTACTTTGAGATTAAGAGGAGGATGATGACTTTGAGATTAAGAGGATGATGAAGATGACGAGTCTGATGGATATAAGGTATTTAGAAGCTCATCCACATTGTTTAAAACAATGTCAGCCTCCTTTTCTAGAAATTTCTGGTTGCCAGCCCCACTAAGAACACCTATTGTTAGACCCAGCCCAGCAGAACGACCCATTGAGGTGTCGGCAATAGTGTCACCAACAATAACAGTTTGAGTTGGACAAACATTTAACTCTTCACAAATGCCCAAGGCAGTTTCAGGATTGGGTTTTGGTTTGATGTCTGTATCATCCCCACAAACAATTTTGTCAATCATGCTCATGAGGCCTAACCTGTCAAGAGCTGACAGAGTGCCTTCTCGACTGTCAGTTGTACAGACTGCAGTCTTAACACCCTTTGCCCTCAGAGTTTCAAAAATTGCTGGGAGGTCACCCAGAGGCTCCAGGGTATCATGCCCACCACTGTCAAAATCTTTACAGCAGTTGCTAACCAGCTTCTGTGCTTTTGCTCTATCTAAACCACTCTTAATTAACACTGTGACAAATGCTTGTCTGATTTCAGCAACAGTCGCATGGGCTAGCAAGCCTCCATCAGAGTAGATGCGCTTCTTAGGACAATAACCCACTTCTTCATACATTTTATCAGCCAGATCAAGACCAGTTGCCTCTTCCAGTTCCTGCACATGACTCTCCATCCAAGGAATCCACACATTATTCAAATCTATCAGAGTACCATCTTTGTCAAATATCACAAGGGAAGGGTCCATTGAGTCTGGGAAAAATGATCCACTGCTTTGGCCATCCCCAGCAAGGGATGAGAAACCTGCTGAACAGCCACCACGTCGAGGGAGCTGAGGTCTAGCCCAGGGGGCATTTCCTACAGGAGCCAAGTGATATTAGCAACACAAAAGGGGGGAAGGGGGAGACAGTGACTAGCAAACCTAAGATGTCAATCATATCTTGGTAAGTGTAGGCAATGTGATCATTTCTGAAAGATTCTTGAGAGATTAGGATTTCTTTGCATGTAGCAAAGTAGCTAAATTGCTTTTACAACATGGAACCATAATTTGCTTACACAAACAACACTTCACAACTACTTTATTAAAAAAAAACGAACAAACCAAAGTGAAGCCTGTTCTCAAGCTAACTTTTGCCAAACTTTAAATAACATTGTAACTTTTCTCAGTTTCTTTTTGTTCTTAAATAATAATAAAAAATCTTCTGGTAGCTTTTTGCAAGAAAACAGTCTCAAGGGAATCTGTTTTTGGTGGAGTGTTTGTCTAGTTTGAAGATTGTGACTTAAGACATGCCCTCTTTCAAAGACAGGAAAGTTACACCAGAGGTAGAAACAATTATTGAAAACTTTTGACAAGGATTATAAAATTTCTAAAAACCAAGATATAGCTTACTGTCATCTTGAGGAATCATGCCACTATCAATCAAGAATATGGCAGTTCCTACAATTAATGTAATCCTTTGGATACCTGTTATTCTAGGACCCTGGTTCCAGAGGTCTTTGTCAATAAATGCTTTTTTCACTGCCGATGTTCGAATGGTTTGCTCTGGGGCAGCTGGAGGGCCATAAAGCTTGTTGTAATCAAACCCATCAGCACTTCGCCTGTTGACAATTACATATCAGCACCACATAACATCAGGCCTTTGACAAGCAAAGCTTGTAGGCCTCTGCACACAACTACAGTAAACTAAAGCTTTAATATAACAACCTCACTTGCTGTATTGAACACTATTTAGAAACACCACATGACTACTATCGCTTTCAAGATAATGTGACATTTAAATGCCAAATGTAAATTCTCATGCTAAAATCTTTGAAACTTTAGAACAAGCATCACTTTAAATTCTGAGAAGGAACATTGAAATGTCTCTCTTTTCTTTTCTTTTTTTGGACTGTGAGGAGGTGGTTATATCAGAAGACTGATCATTATAACACTTACCTTATAATTCAATTTATACAAGAATTCATTTACAATTCATTTAGTGCTACCAAGGTTAGATTACAACAGTTCATACTTTAAAACCAAGTTACACAGCCAGAAACTTAAAACTCAAAACATTGTCACACAGTTGAGAAAGACCACCTGTTTTTGTTTTTTTACAACTTTTGAATGACTTTGTATCATGGCTAAACATTCCAATATTTTGGGAAAACAATATCAGAAATTGTTAGGTTTGGATTCAGCCTTGCATCCAAACAAATGGCCCTTGTATTAAAATAATGATAATACACAAATAGAAAGCTAAAAAAACCAACATAACAAAATTGAAAACAGCTTAACCTTTCAGAATCTACCATTTCTGCTTTGAGAAACATATTTAATCTGTTCCAGTGAAAGTAGAGATCAAAGTTCTGAATTTCTTCTCAAATTCCACAAAAATTTAAAAAATTGATTGAAATTAAAAGTGGCCACTAATGCTGTGTGTCGATCTACTACCAATTAACTTCTTTTTTTTAAGCCACTTCAACTTAAATCTTTTTTTTAAGCCACTTCAACTTAAATCTTTTTTTTAAGCCACTTCAACTTAAACTTTTTCCAGTGTTGAGACTAGGCTGCACAAATTTGCAAACTATATGCTTGACAATCCACAAAATCTTGTGATAGCACTCATTTGGTTTCACATTGTGGGCCAATTGTGTCCTATCAATTCTTCTGAAAAATTTAGTTTTCTTTCTAACTAAAGAGTTGTTTGATATTTGTCATATCAAGTTTCTTTTCATCATGAAACCAAAAAAAAATTTTCAAAGGATTTTGTATGCCCAGAACAACTATACAACATTTGTGCCAGTCGTCTGGGCCTACAGAGAACTCTGATTTTCTCCACTGAGGATCTTGACCAGGAAGGAATTGAAACATACCTTGGTTTACCTAGGATAAAGTTCCAAAGTGAAAATGTTTGTGAGAGAATGTCATTGATGGAACCAATCATTTAAACAGAGTTTAAAAGAAATTCAGTCAGTTGCAATGTGTCTTGTGCCCAATTGTTTACTTTGCCCTAGAGTCATTTCAGACATTGGCTAGTTTTATGTAAGTAAAAGTGTTACTGCACTAGAAATAAAAGTTGTCAGAAGTTATCGTCAAAGTCACTATAAGTAGTTGTATCCAAATTTGTTACATTGTAAAAAGATGTTTGAAGATTAACATGAATAATTAACTAAAGGTGATTAATTCTTAATTACATGTACTTGTAACTATGTTCAAAATTAAGTGGTCCAGAGTTCACACTGGATAAAATATGTAAAGCTGGATGATCTCAAGGTAATCAATCAATAAAAATGCAAAGTTCCCCTCTCCCCTTTTGTGTCTCATTAGGGAAAAAAGGAAAAAAAGGAAAAAACAAAAAAGAACAAAAACAAGACCACCATGTCACACTGATCATTCAAGGCACAATCCTCGTGACTTCAACTTTGGGAAGGCCTTGATGTGCCCCTTTACACTGACCCTAAGAAGCAGAATAACGAAGAGCCAACACTGCTCAATTACTGTATATTATCAAACAAATCAACATTGAGCATTAACTATAACTTACTGAGAAGCTTGTGCCACAAGAAAAACCTGTCCTTCATTGTCTATACCAAATCCAAGTCTCTCATTCCACACCCCAAGAGCTGATATCCCTGCAAAATTCAAGAACAACATTCATCACAAGGAAAGATGCAAATTTATTAAACAGATAGAACAAACTTTTCTTATGAAACTCAATGGGAGGATTACAATTTTCCAGCTTGGAGTCTTAATTCAACCTCAAGGTTTCCACTTTAAAATTTAGAGATTCCATAACGTTTCCATCAGAAGTTGCTTTGTAAATACCGTAAAAATATAATTTCCTGATGTACTCCTTGCTTTGTTGTTTACAGAAACTCAAATTCCTTCTAATGTGTAGGCTTCTCGCAAAACATACTCCAACAATATCTCTTGCCACACTTTAAACTCTGTTCTTACCTTTAAAGGAAGTTTGACTCTTAAAATGGATCTGTCTTACACATCTTCTTTGAAGTAGCCCAAAAACTTTCCTTGCCTGTCTATTTAATGCCATTTTACAGAAGGGAAATGCTTAAGCTGCAAACCACAATCAGAAATAAACTATGAGAAAGAAGGTACAATGATTTTTCCCTTTATCACAATCAGTGAAACATTGGATATAGCACTAATTAAATGGCAATTGTCGTTGTCACCACAACACAGATAAATAACACCAAAATAGTGATAATCAATATTTTGGTTGTTTGCACATCTCAAAAGAATAATTGGATTAATTTCTCTTTGAGGAATTGAAGTCATCATGTTGTCATGATTTAAAAGTTTGTGCAGGTTTTCACCCTGGTGGATAGCAATTTAAGTATAACATAACTCCTGAAAATTTTAGCATTGCAATTTTGATCTTGAACTGATATTATCACTGTTTATGCACTTTGATTTAACTTCATAACAGATATTATTGAACACTTAAGAGGTTTTACAGGTTAATCTTTCTGGTGGAGAGCACTTAAAGCATATCATATTTCTTCCTCATGCAGGCGACAATGTGTAAGAGCCTGAAAAAAATTCATGACTTTTTTTGTCAACTCTAGCACTGGGGTGTAAATGGTACTCTCTAGACTATATGGTATGCTGAGCTTTCAAACTTCCAATTTTTTTAAACTTTTCTATTTCCTTGCCCAAATCCGGTTCCGGCCATATGCATATTTTGAGTGTCAACAAAATTACCGGTAAAACCGCATACCATTTTCACGGACGAATATTGTCCCTGAATATTTAACCCTAAGGTTATCTCCGTTTCTCTAAAGATTCAAGAACCCTCTGACGAGTTAATTGCGAAAATTCTTTACACGGGATATAAAATTTGTGAAACTCTCACCAGTTATCAATCTGGGCGGATAACTTAGTTAAGCGAAAGTGCAAGCGATAACGCTATTTAAAATATTCTACCGGCAAGAGGGCTGATCGATAGTTATCTTTAGAAGTGTCGGCCGACAAAATTCGAAATTCTCCGACTAGAGAAAACACATTTATTAAACGAACATTTCGCCTTCGCTATCTCGCCTAACTATAGATCGTAAAAATTTCACTGTAAGCTATCGATGAACGATTTCCAAGTAACAGAGCAACAACTGAGGCTAATATATATCAAGAGAGTCAATGTAGTTTTCCAGAAACAAAACAGTGTAAAAATCCAGGAAACAAAGAAGCTGTTACAGAAGTTTATATCTTTTAAAACGCGAAGTTAAACAGTAGAAAGATCATGCCACATTTCTTAAGATAACTTGGGCTTTACCATCGAGTCCAGGATAACAAAAATCGCGGCGGACCGGCCTAACAGTTAACACTACCGCAAAAATTTCAGCGAAATTCCGAATTTTACCCAACACTCAAGCAAAACATTGTAGAAACTAAAGATGTGATTCAAATGACATTACCTTGTATACAATCTCTCGAGGAAAGGACGGTGACCGCTTAAATTCGTTATTCTGGTGTTACGTCTGGAGGGAAACCCTTACTAGACTTTCCGCCATGAAAGTACTACTAAATTGTTGGGAGCGCCAGTTTATATAGTAAGAGTGATCACGTGTTCTATTTCGTCATAACAACTGGTTCATCCCGTTTTTAAGGGAAATTACGCACCAATTATAGAAATCTCGCAGTCGCGTGATTTTACTTTTCACGTGCTTCCGGTGATGTGTCTTACCGCGTGTAACGCAATAGTTTTGTCATTCAACTAGAGCATTTCAATCGGCGGTCTATCTGTTTTCTGCCTTTGAAAACTGGCTTGCCTTTAAATCAACAATGCCTCTGCTGATAATTGCATATTTTGAAACGTTGGTATAAAAACAGTAATGACGCGGACCCTTCTGTGTTACTTGTAGCCGCTTTTTTCCCTTGGAGGATCCTGGCCTTTCAAGGTTTAGTTCTTTTATCTCCGTTTTTCTCCAACATCAAAAAAATAGCTTGTGAAAAATAGGCTTTTAGTGTGATCAGCAGAGACAAGGGTTTCCATCGCGTTGCCGCGAGATCTCCAATATCATCCGCATCTTCAGTACGGCGTTCATTGCATATTGCATAATATATAGTTTCTATTGGTGAAAGGTTCCACAGTGACTTCAAACATGTGCTAGAACGCGTGACAAGGAAATGCAAGTACGATCTTTTTTCTGGGGAGATTCGAAAGTGTGTTAAAACCATTTATTCTCGGTGTCAGGAAAACAATTTTGTTAAATCTGGGACCAATTTTGATTTCACTATATTATAAACGTGACAAAAGGCCGGTTTAAAGACAACATTTGCCCGACGATCGTGAGCGTCATCGCTTTTGACCTTGGTCATAATTCAGAAATTGATTTTATGATAATTTGTACCTCTGTGTAATGTTCAAAGGATAAATATGACGTAACAGTTTTTTTCCGAATTTTTGTTCTCATTTCATACTGACTACACGAGATCCTACCCGTTCCAGTGTTCCACAAGTTCCAGATGGTGAATCTTGCGTGGTCGGCGAACAAGACTTGGTAAGGAAATAGGGAAGATTTGGCTTGATGGAAATGCAATTGTTCAAGTTCACTGTGCCTAATTTTTTCTGGCTGTTCGGTTTTTGACCAAGATATCAGGAACTGAGACATCCAGTGAATAAAAAGGCATAGAGGGCTTAGAAAAAATATCTCCTAGTTTTCCCGTTACCTCGCACGGCTTTAAAACTCGATTCACCTCAACTCCTTACTTTGTTTCGCTTTCGTTCAGTCGTTGGAAGATATACAATTCCTGGATAAAGCCACGGAGACTATTCTCTTGTATCACGCAAATTGTGGCAACATCATGATGCACTAACCTGTAATTAGATAATGGCGTAATATGTGACTAACGCAGTCTATGGCTGTACGATTTTACGCCACTATCTACGTCAGTGTACATACTGTAAGATTTCAAGCTGTTAACTAACGGCGTAAAATCTCTCAGTATGTATATACACACTGGAAGAAATAACGCCGTTAGTTAATGGCGTAAAATCTTACAGTGTGCATATTTCACTGACTGAATAAACATTACGTCGTTAATTGCGGCGTAAAATCTTACAGTGAGTATATGCTACCGAATGAATGAAATTACGTCGTTAGTTGTTGGCGTAAAATCTTACAGTAAATATATATATATACTACGGACTGAAGGAAATTACGCCGTTAGTTGCAGTAGAATTCATGTAAATAATCATTTATTTATCTATTAAGGCCTTAGAAATACAATTAATCTCTAGGTCGAGTTCCCTTATTAGCATTGCACTTACTATGTATATTACAAACTGTGTTGATGTCACAGTTATCCTTGATATGCGAATAAAAAGACAGAAACTTTTCAAGACTGCAGTACATTTTTCCTTCACAGGCCGGCATTGCGACCACCGCTTCGTTTACTAGAAGCTGTATTTTTATATGAGATTCCTGAAATGTCCCTCCGAATTCATTCCTGTCAGTGCTAACGGATTGTTGACACTGTCCGATGCAATCATTCTTTTCTTTTGCATCTCTTTTCGCACCGTCACGATTACAATTATAAAGCACAAAGGCAACATTCGCCGACATGGGTACTACATCTGAAATGCGAAAAGTACGGTTGGCCTGTTCGTTAAAATTGTCCGCTCGGGGTGGTACTGAGTCATTGTAGAGTCCAAGCATAGTGAAGAGAGGTATCACAGTTCCCGTATGCGCAAATCGGAAAATACCGTGAGGTTTCCCATTCTTGAGGAATCTTTCAATGCTATCTGTAATCTCCGCATAGAGAGGGCAAGCCATATTGTAGTTAATTTTACGCCCGTAGCTTCGGTCCCAGTAAAGTTTCAAGTCGTTCAGATACTCCAAAACTTTAAATTCTTCGTCTTCGAACACTGAGCACCAGCTGCTATCAGCGCTGTCAGTCTGAACCCCAAATGCGCACATCAAAAACATTTCCACAGCATCCTCAGGACGAAGGGAATACTTTCCGCTTAGTCGCAACCTTTTTACGATTTTACGCGAAACTTTTCGCATTTCTGGACCGTTCATAAATTTTCGGTATTCCGATTGAGATCTTTTCCTCGCTGTAATCTTTTGCCATCTTGGACAAGCTTCAAAAATTCGTAGAACAATGTCGTCGTTGTAAGAACCTGAAAACTTCACCGCTACTGGACGAAATTTCATGCTTCCTAAATGTCCTTTTCCCTCAAAAAGGCCTTGAGCGAAAGCTATCGCACTCTGACTTGATCGCAGTTTGTCGGTGGCGATAAAGCTGTAGTTAGTATTGGAATAGCCGTGTTTTAAGATCCCGCGGAATTTAGAGAGGAAACGCCTTGCCATGGAGTACATCTCTTCTGTTCCTAGTTCGGACATCTCTTTGCTAGCCGAATTTATGATATCGGGCGGGAAACTCCAGGGAAGTGACAGGCCTTTGTAGTGAAAGGTGGAATTATTAGGGAAGAATCTATTTATCTTTTCAAGCAGTTTTTTCGCTTTTTTGATTCGAGAGCCTCCCGGGTATCTGGAGCCATGACGAATCACCATGTTGATGTGTATTGGTTCGCATCTCGGAGGCCTCTCTATTGGCCTGCTGCTAAAATGATACGGCGTTTTGTCGCTGAAAAGATACTTTTTAGGAGGCGAGTTTAACGCCGAGCCATAATCTAAACATAGCATGAGTAGAAGAGCAAGAATCACCCTCAACAAGACCTCGGCAGATGCAGTTGCCATATTAAGACAGAAGATTCTATGTGCGTGCTGCGTACTTTTTTCGAGGATCAAGTTTATCTTTCATCATGTCACTATGAGAGGTTGCGTGACCAAATACTAAGCCGAGTTAAGCTTATTCACACCCCTCTAGGCGGGATAGGCAAGACTGGTACTTAGTGGCCTACGTGTAGCCGTATCCTCCCCCCATGGTGAAACGGAGGAGCTTCCGAGTAAGGATCAACGCTCGAAACGTCAGCTTAGAAACTCTTTGCGGTGACCAATTTAAGATTTCAAATCAGTGAATAATACTAAATAACCCTGATGGTGTCTTTTCTCCGCACGTTTGCCCCTCCCCACTAGTAGAGGGCATTAGTTTCGTCATTTTCGTGACTTTCACGGGTATCGATGAGCCTGGAACCGAAACTTGTGGCTTCACAGCGTCTGAATACTGAAAATGGCGGCAGAGAGTACCCCAATGAACTTGGATAACGAGAGCGATTCTGCAAAATATGGAGAAGATATCTCACCGGAGAAAGATGGCGGAGTGCGGAAAATCATTAAGGTGGCAGGTGGAGGTGGAGATAAGCCACCGATCGGAAGTAAAGTTAGGGTTTACTATTCCGGTAGATTCTTGACAGGCGAAGAGTTTGACTCAAACATCGGCAAAAAAGATCCGTTTGAATTTGAACATGGAAAAGGTATGATTAGCCTTTGATTTTTGGGTAGAAAGAAGGGAAAATAGTGGAAAATATGATGTGATGTACGTAAATTTGTATAGGGAGGCTTTTATGTTGTTTTTTTTACAGATCTATTAGTACGACCGTTGACATGTTTGCATGAATCTCATTAGGTGAAAACATAGATGAGTTGATTTTATATTTATTTGATTGAGTCAAGTGGGTTAAAACACATTACTTTTTGCTGGATGTAGTTTAAGAGAAACCTTCGATGCAATAATTTGCTTATTTTTGCACATCAGGGAGACCAGGACGTGCACGCACTAAGCTTGCGATTCTCGTCTTCACAACATTTTCATGTTAGACTTAAATTTGCCTTTAATTTTTTTCACTTTCATTTTCTGATCTCATGTGAATAGCATCTGTCAGAGAGCGTGAAATCAAAAATAAAAAAAATGAGTTTTTGTTTAGTTGTTATGTAACTGAATTAAAGAATAATACATTGATGCACTTAGATAAGGACTTTTGTAGTTTTCTTCGAGTGAGATATTGAATTGAACACAATGAGAGAAATTCTATATCTACAAACAAAACATGTATCATGTTGTTTATTGTATAAATGCCATGGGCCTTAAATGGTAAGAAAAGTCAAATTTAAACATGAATTAACCAGATAGAATGGTGTGAAAGGTGAGTGTGTGTCCACAGCTGATTTACAATATTAAACACATGGGAAAACCCATTGTAATTTTACATGTTTGCATTTACTGCTTTTCTCATGGCTGGAAGGTAAAAACATGTTCTTTAACCCTTTAGCTCTCAAGGTCTGATTGTTAATTCTCCCCACTATCTGCTACACATTTCCATGTAAATTAGTTATGAGAATGTGGTGTTAGATCAAGATGACAACTTCAACCTGATAAGTCTGAGTAATCTTATTACTTTTTTGTCTTGATAATATAGGGAGAAGTTATGTGTTAATCACCTCTGAGAGTTAAAGGGTTAATTCAACTTTTCACTATTCTCAGTTATGAAGAGACAGTTGTATACACCCTACCAGAAAAAGGGATATAATGAAGGGAGATCCTAAACCCAAGTGGGACAGTCAATAAATTTGAAAGTAGAAGGGAGATAAAATTTCATAGGTGACCAGGTTATTGTATATTGTTTGGTCAGATTAAATGCAAGGCTGGGAACTTTTCAGTTTTATAAAATAACTGTAATTCTAAGACGACCCTGATTGGTCAGAAACATTTCGTTTATTTCATTGGTAAACCCATAGTTATCAATCAATCAATCAATTATTTATTTTAACACATTTCATCTAGGAGCTAAGAACTTGTTCACAATACGAACATGTATAAATAAGATCTACAGTAATTACAGTTAACAAATAATATTGTCCATCTTAAAACAACTCAGTAAATATTTAAAAAACTAGAAATAAATACATAAAATATAAAAGGCTAAATCCTAAACTAAAAAAATCTATGAGATAGCTAAAATCATGACATGAAGACTATAAGAAACATTCTAAAATGCTACAGTCTTGCAATTTACTTTAATTTGAAGTCATTTGCATCCCTTGAAAGAGGTACTTGAGCAGGCAAACTGTTCCATAACTTAGTTAATAAATAAGAGAAAGAATTCTTTTTAAATTTAAGGCTAAAATTAGGTAATTCCAAAGTTCAGCCATCACCCCTTAGATCATGCAGTGTATGCCAGAGGCTCGTGATTGACAAAATTTTTTTATGTTCTCCCAACATCCAGTGTGGGTTATTAGGTTGGTAAAGCGATAAAAAGTGCAGTCTGTTATTTAAATAATGTCCCACACATTCAACAAAGTTTGTTTGAATCATGTAGCAAACTCTGAACGTGGAAATGAATCACACATCTAAACTTGTGACTAGTAAATAATACATTTGGTTCCACTTGCAAACAGGGAAATACCTAGAGTACGTATTTCTCTATTGATTTTTTTGATTATGGTTAAATATTTTTTCTTAAGTAAAATGAAGTGAAAATAGTCAAACAAAGATGGCAGACCAGGCAGGGGTTTTGGCCAGCTATTAGCTCACATTGATGGCTCAGATACGATTAAAGCAAAGATGTGACACTTGACGTTGGTTATTTTGATTTTCCTTCAGTTTAACACAACAGAAGGAACATTGACAAATCAAAAAACTTTTTTGCCCTTCAGGGGTTGTGATCAGGGGATGGGACATTGCTATAGCAACAATGGAAGTTAATGAGACCAGCCTCATTACAATCAAACCAGAATATGCTTATGGGACAGAAGGAAGTGGAACCAAAATCCCTCCAGATGCTTGTTTACAGTTTGAGATTACTTTGGTTGAATGGAAAGGAGAAGATATCACAAAAGATGGACATGTGACAAAGATTGTGTTAGAAAAAGGCGAGGGCTATGTCTGTCCAAACACTGGTGCACTCTGTGAAGGTCAGCATTTATAATAGGAGGCTTAAAGTCAATTTTAAACTCATGTGGTTGTTCCTTTAACCATTTTTTTCCCCAAGATCTCAAGATCAATTCTCCTTTCTTTCCATCATACATTTCTTTTAAGTCCAGCTCTGAGAATTTGGTGTTAGGTAAAAAGCATATCCCCTGCTTCACTGTTCTATTGGACAATGTATTGATATTATAAGGGGAAATTACTTTTTGATTGTTCTTTGGAAAGAAGGGGTTAAATGTTTTTGAGTTGTTCTTGTTGGTGGTATGCAGCAGATTTTCTCAAATTTAAGTTCAAAGTGGCTTTAAAAGCAACTTGTTAAGGGTTCAAATTAAAAAATGGCATGCCTACTGAGAGGTAGAGATGGACAGGGGTTTGTTAATTTTAGGAGAGTGACTGTAGAAGAACCACAGATAAAGACAAATGGGTGCTCTTGATGCTTAGGAGTGACCAGCATCTGATTTCTCCTCACAATATCACTTCTTAATCACTCATTAAGGTCACAAGAATAAAGGAATTGATCATCAACTAAGAAAACTCTTGATTATTAGACAAATTCTCCTTGTCAGTGCTATAGGAAATGTATGGAGAACATGCATACCAATGTTAAAGTGAAAAGGGTTGATATTAGGGTTCAGTTTGAGGATGAAGTTGTGGCTGCATGTGTTGTGGCTTCATGTTGACTTTTGGCAGAGAATCTTGTCACTGAACTTTCTCTTTTTACCCCTTTTACCCCTTCTCTAGTTCATATTGTTGGAAAGTGTCAGGGCAAAGTGTTTGAGGATCGCGAAGTTTCCTTTCTCATGCAAGAAGGTAAGTTAAAAATTTTAATGGATTAATACAGATGTCTGGTCTAAAGTTAAAATGAAATACATAAATAACAAAAATGATTATCTCTTTGTTGGGTATTGTGGTGCATTTTGTGGCTAAAATAGATATTTTAGTGGGTTAAAATGTGTTTTAGCTTGCACACTTTATTGTTCTGACTCTACTGTTGTCATCTTTTTTTAATTTTTTTCTCAATGTCCCTTGAAGTGATAAATATGACCATACAGCTTCTGTTCTTGTGTGTAAATATGGTTAGGCCCCTTTTGAAGTAATTTTAACCCTTGCTTGACAGTTTAGGCTAAAATGACTTTAAGTTGGGCTTGATTCTATTGTTTTATTAAAACTCAGTTTTTATGCATTGTCAGCAACAACATAAGTAATAACAAACTTTTTTTGTATCTAGGTACTGAGGAAGGACTTCTCCTTGGTGTACAACAGGCTATTCTGAAAATGAATGATGGTGAAAAAGCATATGTGTGGATTAAGCCTGGAAGGTGGGGATTTGGAACGGCAGGGAAACCTGAGCTGAATATTCCTAAAGATGCTGTGGTAGAATACATGATACATCTAAAGAAATTTGAAAATGTGAGTACATATATCGATAAATAAATACTTACTAAATGGACTCTATGCAACCTAAGCAATATTTCTGTTAAAAAAAAAGAAAGGATTAAAAGGAGAATAAACTTAATTTATAGGTGTAGGGATGATTTTTTGGGTCATTCCTCAACTTCACTTCTTAGTACATACACTGTTAGTGACCTGTAACCAAACGTCAAACTTTCCTCATGTTTTTCTGACATCCACTGTAGGTTTTTATGGTGGAAAACTAATAGAAAAGCATGCACTAAGACAACATTGGTGGTGCAACTGTAATCAGCAGCAAAATGGTGGACACTTTTATATCTAGTTTGCAATATTCTGGAGTACAGTAGCATACCAATTGTATTACTAATACCCTCACTTTCATCCTCCCCCCTCCATATAGTGTTGCAATTTGTTTGCTTTCTTTGACTGTTCAACCTTCAATAGGCTGAGTGGGGTGGGGTTGGGGGGGTGGGAGGTAT